GATAGCAAAGGAAAAAGATCACCCTAATTTGATATGTAGAAAACTTCAAATATGTATAGAAATTTTTGGCTAATTTCCATTTAAACTATGTTTTATTGAGGATATAGTAAATATTACATAAGAGTTACAGAATTATCATTATTCTGCAAAAATCTTATCAACCTGTTGAATATATGCTCTGAACCACAATGTCACTTTAATGTATGTCATCAATTATCATACAAATAGTAATTTCTTACAAAGAAATATTAATTTCTTTTAAAATTTTGTAAAATTGAATTATAATTTCCTAGATTACAGAAAAAAATCAAAAGCAAAATACTACTGTAAAACTGAGATTTCATAATCAAATATATATCGATACATTATAAATAAATCTCAACAGATTTCTGTCTCTATTGATAAATATAAAGTTAGAGAAATTACTCTTTTTCTTAGCTGTAGTATGATAAATAGAAAAGTTCAATAAACTCTGCCTTCTATAACTTGCACTGTAGTTCACCTTATATCCCTGTTATTCTTGTGATCTTAATCAAATTACTTTTTTTCCTACTATACCTCAGTTACCTCCTATTTATAATGAGGGGACTGGCTTGATTGATAGCTTTGTAATTCTAAAGTTTGATGTCTCTAGTGATTTTAGATACAGACATTAAGCAGCTGGTTGCGGCATATTTTAATTTGGCTTTGTATATATTTAAAGTTTAAATATTTCCACGTACAAGATAAAAGCCTATAAAAGCCTAACGGCACTTTTGTTGACTTATATGCATTTGTTTATATGCAGGGAAGAGAGAGAGACAAAGAGTGAAAAAGAAATTGCGATAAATACCGTCTACATACCTTTGCACATATGAGACAAGTAAGACAAGACTTACTCAAAGATAGAAAGATATGAAAGAATGACTTTGTTTTTTTAATCAAGCTACATTATTTACTTAGAGTCTTTAAATTGATTTTGTGGCCTTACAGCTAAGTCACACATTGGCTTAGGATAAATTTGAGGTAGGGTTCAAATTGTCTTACTAGACTTGCATAAAAATTTGCATATTCATTCATATCAAATCAGTGGACAATCCTTTTCTTATTTCATAGACATCCAGAGAGCCAGGTAACCCTACTTTACTAGATGACTAAAGACATGATCTAACTTTTATCAGTTATTAGCCTCTTGGCTATACTATCAAGCCAAATATCATAAAAATCACCAAATAGTGAGATTTATTATGCTTCTTGAAAGTGTCCTTAGTTATAGATAAATGAGCCATATTGTAGAAAATATGCCTGTAGAATTAAAACTGGAAGCTATGGTTGGCATCACTATGTAAATGTTTTTCCACTGCAATATATATGTTAAAATATAAATATACAAATCATTTAATATTTAGCTTTCTTAGTGCTTAGAATTTTAATAGATGATTGAAAGTCATCCATTTGCTTCCAAAATGGAAGTAATGTTAAAAAATAATATCTGCCATATTTTCTTCCTAGGTATATAGTGAGTATATTGAACACAATTTGATCAATTAAGGAGAACATTATTCAGACTACATTGAGCAGTTCCTTGCAGAGGGAAAACTGTCAGTGGAGTAAACATGAATTTTTTTGGAGTATTTCATGATCAGCTACAAATGGATTTTTAAATGAATGTTTATTCAGGATATGTCCTCTATACGCTTGCCAAAAATAAAGTACCTTACTTTCCATTTACTAAATACAATAAAATTTTTACTTCCAAATGCATTATCTAAATAACAGCATGGCAAGGATAAGCCCAACAGAATTTGAGACAAATAAACCAAGGGGCAACTGTACTTTTATATATTATCAATGAATCTTTTGGAATTATATTAATTTTTAAAGAGAATTTTAAAAATACATAATACACATACACTGGAAATTTGAAAGGAAACAGAAAAACCGGAATACTTCTGCCTTGATTTTACAAATCAAAAGCACCTCTCAACTTCCAGGTCACAAACCTGAACCCACCACCAAGACCAGTTTTACCAAGCAAAGGCAGCATGAAATGAAAAAGCAGATTCTTAATCTAAATAATGTTGTCCATGGTCCACATTTTGCTCAAATAAATATATTATTTAGTAGAAAGCAAAGAGTTTTATTTGAAATGCAAAGATCTGAACTATGAAAGCCTGGACAATATCATGTTTTTCTAAGGTGTGAATTTCAAAAAAAAATTTTTTTTCAACACCTCTACAACACAACTTTCCTAGATTCCGCTAAAGAATAACAATACAAGTTTGATTTTAATGTCCCTTGAGCCTGTAAAAGCAAGCCAAGAAGAAGGGGATAGGGTGAGCATTATTTATAAACTTTTGTTTCTACAAAGCTGCTTAACTTACTGTAATGTAGGCATTAATAAAATTTAGGAGCAACACTTCAAAATGCCTAATTCTCATGAAAATAAGAACACTGTAAGAGACATCATTTCCATCCTACCACAAGTAAAGAACTACATGATTAGGCAGTTCAAGAATATTATAAATAACGTGTAGTCTTTATCTTACATAAAATCTCAGATTTTTTAATTAACTTTTAAGGTAAAAAAATGAAAGACAATGACCTTCACGTTTTACACAGATAAATTCATGATCAAAGGGGGGAAATTGTGACTAAGCCTTATTTTCTCTTTTTAATGTCATGTTTAATCAAAACAAAATACATTTGGGCCACTGTGTAAAATCTAAAGGTACATATTTTTTTTCAAAATAAAAATAGGAAATTACCTATTTATGACAAAAACAAAAATCAGAACAGAAAAGACACTTTTTTATATCAGATACCTAAGCAGAATGTAACTCTGTAAATGGATCTCTTGGCCCTAACCGTAATATTGAGAAGATGAAGCTATCAATTACTATTACTAATTATATTAAGGGTAATGTATTTCATTTGCCTCTGTTTCAGGTCAGCTCTTTATTGTGGTTAAAACTTTATACATCTTTTGGATTCCTAAAGACATAGAAGTTTCCAAAGTGACTTTTGACAAATGAATGATTTGTTCCAATAGCTTTGTAGGTTTTCTCTTTGGATATATGAATTTCTTTGCTCAGTTAAGAGACTAACACCATACATTAGTTTATTTATAAGCATATCACTTTGCCTTTTAAACAGGATGCCAACAGCCTTGATATTGGCTGTTTTAAATATTCAAGAACATAGAGCTAACCCCATTTGATGAGCCAAATGAAACTAAAGTGACAGTAGAGAACATATGAGGTGTTTGCATAAGATAGCTAAAAATCTGCCACTTGATAAGTCCACTCAAAATACACAATTTAGAATGCAAATGCTATTCAGCCACAGGACATCAGGTCCTCTTAGGATGGCAGCTAGAAGAAAATATTCTCCAGAAAGATCGCAAAAGTTACTGTTTTCTAAACAAATTTCTGAGGATCTCAATTAATTTATGGGTGTTCATGAGTAATTTTATAAATGTGCTGTTATTTTAATTGGGATGGTCCTTATTTACAAACCTGATGAAAGCACTGAAAACCAAAACAACAACCTCCTCCCAACTCTAGGTAAAATAATACCATGACAAATACAAGCTTTCTACTTGTTAAATTTCAGATGAAAAGAAATAAGGCAAGTTCATAGGCATCAAAAGACAATTTCAAAAGCCATTTAATACAACAGAGTTCAAGCTGTACTCTTGAATTCTTTGATAATTAGATATAAAAGCATATCAAGTCTGTATCTCCTTATCCAAATAGTCACAGTTAAGTATTGTATATGGAAAATATTTATATAAGAAACCAACTTTTTAAATTACGAAGGCAATAAGAATTATTATCTCTATTCTATCGTATCTTTAATGAGTCCATCAATAACACCTTTAATGAGGTTATAAAATGACTTTTTTTCTTTGCCTTAATTCTCAAATCCCATATATCACACACAAAGCATATTTTAGAGAAAAATTATGATGAAGCTATTTGAGAGCCACAAGTATGTTTCTTGGGGTGAGTTCTGGAAGGAAGAAATATATGATGCTTCATTAGCAGAGTTGCTACAGCAGTAGATAGAAGAGTTTCCAAAAGATTTTATTTGCTGTGTGCCAAACTTTGGTGGGTGAAAACTCTGTGAGAAATACATATAATATACAAGTAGAACTTTCAAAACTAAATCTTACATATTTTGAAGTTCATGTCAGAATACACTTTTTTTTGACTCCACATTTCACTGAGAAACAACTGTCAAATATTGCAATGCATCCAAAGTATCCTGCACACAAACATCAACCTGTTTGTTGCTTGGCTTAAAAAATGAAAGGTTCATGCAGTTTACTTCTGCCTATAAATTTTTAATACCAAACACGAACAAGGCAAACAATGATTGCATATCCTTAGCGATATCTAAATATTTGTTAAATATATGGAAGTATTAAAAATGTAACCTTGCATAACATTTGCATATCATTACATTATTTTAGACCGGCATTTTTGTCAAAGTATCTCATACTTGATACTGCATTTGCATGAATCAGCATTCACTTATCTGTTTAATCCTGCATGATGTGTAGCATAGTTAAAACTTTTACAATGTGATATTTGCACAGATACCAGAGTAACTTGAGAAATTTTCTCTCTGGATGCAATTATCCACTTACTACTCACAAAAGAAAATACTTTCAGGTTAAAGCTAAGCATCCAATCAACAGGTACATGTTTATTCTGGAAGCAGAAAAGGTAGCATGAATTACAGCTGAAGTACAAAGAGTAGTCCTGAACACTGTCTACTGTGATTATTTTCTTTGGTAGCTTAGTACATGTTGGCCTAACCTGCAAAATACAATAGTGCATCTTGTGAAGATCACCTCTACTAAATGAATAGTGAATAAATTAACATTTTTCCCTGCTAATAAAATTTCAAATCATAGTTTTAAAAGAGAGAAGACAAAACCTTGCTGAAGATGCTCTGTCTCGGAGTTTTTAGCTCTCTCTGGGATATTTAAATATATTTGGGAGGCATCTTACCTGTTTGCTGTACTTGTTATTGGTTTGACAGCTGTACTCAGAGCAGTGATCTGATCCAATTGAAATGTTGTCTCCTGCTCCCACAAATGTGTTGGCGGGTGGTAGATCTTGTACGGCCTGATGTTTTTTTCCTGCAGTTGGTGATTGGGGGTGAAGCTGGACAGTAGGCAACGGGGAACTAGATTTATAATGCCTGGCCAGGTCAGGACTGCCAGGCCCCCCGTTTACGGACCGGTATCGCCCCATGTTGGGACTGTCTGACAGCTTCTCATTGACACTATCATACCTCTGTCCATTTGGTTTAGAAGCTTCTACAGTCACAATGCTGCTGTAGAGAGGCTGCTTAGATTTTTTGTTTTTCTTGTCTTTTTTAGGCTTTTTAGATTTGTCATGCTGTTGGGGTGTAAAAAAGTCTTCATGATCCTTTTTGCCTGCTTCATAGCCATTTTTGTTTTTGGACCGGCAGTACCTTGCCATCACTACAATTAAGATGATTAGAATCACTGTCATAATTCCAGCAACCACCCCAATGACAATACTGAGTCTCTGTTTGCTAATTTCATAGCTTGGGTCACCAGCTATATCCTGGGTGAGTGGGGTGTGCAAACTTCTGACTATCTGGGAGTCAATCACAGTTGCATTAGAAACACTTTCATTGACAAACACATGCACCAGAGTCGTGGTGGACTGGGAAGGCTGCCCGCTGTCATTCACTTGCACAACCAACCTATGCAAGCCATAGTGCTTTTGGGTGAGTTTTCCCACTAGGGAAACCACACCACTGGTGGAGTCAATCTCAAACAGCTTGAAGGGATTCCCTCCCACAATGCTGTAGTTCAGGTCTGCATTGATGCCATCGTCACTATCTGTTGCCAACACTGTCGCTACTACTGTCCTGACATTACTTGAAGGTGGCAGTAAAGTGTAAGAAATGTTTCTGGGCAGGGTAACTGTGGGAGCATTGTCATTCTCATCCATCACAAAGAGAGAGACAGTGGCTGTGGCCGACCTGGGAGGATCTCCCCCATCCACGGCCTTGACTCTGAATGTGTAAGTAGTCTGATGTTCCCGGTCAAAAGACATTGTGGAGTAAATGGTCCCTGTGTCATTTTCAATGGAAAAAATGTTACTGTTCTCCTCTATATACAGGCTCATTTCTGCATTGCGCCCCTTGTCAGCATCCATCACTGTGACCATCCCCACGGGGCTGTTGGGCTGCAAGTTTTCCTTCACATAAAAGGTGAAGACGTCCTGCATAAACTTAGGGTCATTGTCATTTTTGTCAGCCACCTGCACAATCACTGTGGTGCTGCCCTGCAGCACGGGGATGCCTTTGTCTTTGGCGTTAACTTTAAACTCATACCTGTCAGTCTGCTCGCGGTCCAGCACGGTATTGACGAGGATGTCCCCAGAATCAGGATCTATGGCAAAGATCCCCATCACGGAGGAGTCGAGGGAATAGGCAATTTCTGCGTTTTTCCCGCTGTCGGCGTCTGTCGCCAGCACCGTGGCCACCCTCTCGCCAGGAATGTTGTTCTCCGGAAAGTAAACCTCCACCACCGACTGGCCAAAGACGGGCGGGTTGTCGTTGGTGTCCCCCACCTTGACAATCAGAGAGTTGTTGCTGGAGAGGCTGGGGCTGCCGGAGTCCACCGCCACGATGACCACGTTGAACTCCCTGGTGGTCTCATAGTCCAGAGGGGCGGAGGTGTGCAGAAAGTACTTTTTCTTGTTCTGGTCGCCCTCTGTGTCACTGGCTGGCTTGAGCTGGAAGGGCACGTCGCCCACCACGGTGCAGGTGACCACTCCGTTCTCGCCTTGGTCTCGGTCGGACACCTGCACCAGGGCAATGGGAGTATCGACCAGAACGTCCTCGGCCACGTTGGCCACCCCGTCCTTGAGCGGGATCCGCCCGATCTTGCGGATTTCAATCGACGGCACATTGTCGTTCTCATCCTTGATGTTGAGCACCACCGTGGCCTTGTCGGTCTTGGGGGGCTGCCCGCGGTCGCGGGCCATGACCGTGAAGCGCAACTGGTTCACCTCCTCGCGGTCAATTCGGTGCAGGACGCTGAGCCAGCCCGACGTCTCGTCCAGGCGCAGCAACCGCCTCACCGACTCGGTGGCGGCCCCGAACACGTACTCGATCTGCCCGTTGACCCCCACGTCCAGGTCGGCGGCACGCAGCTGCAGAATGGGGGTCCCGGGGGCGCTGTTCTCTGCCAGGTCAGCCTCGTACACGCTCTTCTCGAAGCGGGGGCTGTTGTCGTTCACGTCGGTGATGAGCACCCGCAGGATGGCCTGGGACGAGCGAGGCGGGTCGCCCCCGTCGCGCACCCGCAGGGTCAGCTCGTAGGAGTCTCGCTGCTCGCGGTCCAGCGCCCCCTTCACGATCAGCTGCGGCTGCTTCTCGCCATCCGGGGTGTCGGCCACCTGCAGTTCGAACACGCTGCTGCGGCCGCCGGGGCTGGTCCCGCCGCCGCCCTCCGGCGCGTCCAGCCGCCTCTTGGAGCCGCCGGGGCCCCCGCCGGGCGCGCCGTTCCCGCCGCCCCCGGGGTAGGGGGCGCTGTCGGCAGGCCCCGCGCGCCGGCCCTCGCCCCCCGCGCCGCCGCCCCCGGGCTCCTGGAGCAGCTCGTAGCGCTCGATGCCGTTGCGGCCGAAGTCGCGGTCGGTGGCGGTGGGCAGCAGGTAGAGCGTGCCCACCGGCCGGTTCTCCTCCACCGTGAGCGTGAGCACGGGCGACGGGAAGGTGGGCGTGTTGTCGTTGATGTCCAGCACGATGACCCGACCCTCGAACAGGTCCACCCAGCTCTGCGAGGGCCCGATCACAGACACCTCGAAGTCCAGGAAACACTCGTTTTCGTCGAAGATCATCTGACACTGGGGCAGCTTCTCGCGGTCGATGCGCCGCTCGCTGGTGCTCAGCTCGCCGGTGAGGTTGTCGATCTTCAGGTACTCCGAGCCCGACTCGAGGCTGAAAGTCACCTCCCCGGAGCCGGTCACGATGCCCAGGTCCGAGGCGACGTTGCCGATGCGAACGTCCGCTGGGCCCTCCTCGGCCAGGCGGTACCGGAGGAGTTGCTTGGCGGCCGCCAGGCTGAGCGAAAGCGGCAGGAGGAGACAGCAGCCCAGGCACCAGCCGCGCGCCCATCCCGTGGTGCGCATCCTCAGCATCTTCTCCTGCTGCTGCTGCTACTGCTCCTTCTGATCACAGCCCCCCCGGGCTCCCCCCTCCTCTGGGGCCGGCCGCCTGCCCTCCTCCGGGTCCTCGCCCCTCTCCGGGAAACGAAGACGCGAGAGGGGGGGGGCAAAAAGCAGGGCGCAGAGTCGACCCAAGGGGAACGGCGGAAGATCCTTCTTTTTTTCCTCCTGCTTCTTCCGAAAGTTATTGTTTCATAATTCATGCAATGGGTGCTAATCGCCCGCTCGCCAGCCGCCGTTCAGTCGCAGTACTCACAGTTCACGGGACACTGCGCGCCGCGGGCTCGGAGCCCCCCCCAGAGTCATCCCCGCGGCGGGCGGAGAATCCCGGGCTCGCGTCCCCGCACCGTGGGACGTGGCCGCAGCCGCTCCGGCTTGGCGGGCGGCGGAGCCGGGAACCCGCGGGGCGCGCGCGAGCCTGCAGCCTCCGAGCCTGCCAAGCCCGCTCGTCTTTGCTGCTGCTGCTGCTGCTGCTGGAGTGGAGTCCAATTCACGTTGCAGCCACTCACTCTAGACCCAGCTTCTGCTCCCGCTGCCTGGACAAACGTGAGGCGCTTGCGGCACGAGGTGTCGGAGTCAGCAACAAGCCAGTCTCAACTCCGACTTCGCTCGGCTTAGCGGGAGAACCAGTCCACTGATCTAGAATGAAAAATCCCCGCCAGGTCGCTCCGGGCACCGTGCAGTGGAGACCACGCGCGTCACAGGGCGATCCGCGTCCGGGTTCTCCCCGCGCGCCAAACAGCAGCCCGAGCCATCTTCAGAGACGCCCAGAGAGTCAGTCCCTTCTCACCCCCGAGAGCTCGGGTTTCTCTTTTTTTTTCTTAACTCTGCGCAAGGTCATTAGTCACGAAGCCGCCGCCTGAAACCGCAGCAGCCGTTCGCCCGCGGGGGCGAAGGCTGAGCCGTGCGCACCGCGCGGTGCCCAAGTTTGGGTTTGCAGCCGCAGAGTCCGTGCTTTCCCTCACCTGCATTCGGCCCGCAGGTCGGAGCAGTGGGATCTGCAGCGCTGTGCGCGATTCGGGGAGGAGATTGCAGCCTCTCTCTCCCCGCTCCCTCTCGATCCCTCCCCTCTCTCCCTCTGGCTTCTCTCTCCTCCCTCCTCCTCGTCCCTCCTCCCGCCTCCCCTACGCCTTTCCCCTTCTCCCACTCTCTCCGGCACGCTCCCGCCCCTCCCAGCCAGTCCCGAGGCAGGCAACTCGAGCAGAACTTGAGCCCTTTGCACTTCAAAGGTGAGCGAACCGGCCTCGGCGCGCAGGCGACGCTGGCTTGGCTGAAGCGCCGGGCCGGGCTCCCCCCACGGCAATTAACAAAGATGCCCAATTTTGTCCGGATTTCCGAAGAAAAGCCAAAGGCACTACGGAGGGTGGTGGAGGGAGGCGGGAGGTGGAGTCAGAGACAGCTGCCAAGTAGCTTAAAAAAAAAAAAAAAAAATCCAGTTCGCCAAGGGGAGAAAAAGTGCCAGTCAGTTGTTGCCTCGGAAGTGCCCTGGCACGGAGGGTGAATTCCGCAGTTGTCTCGTCCCCTTTCGCGTCTGGGAGAGTCTGGTGCGGGCGCTCCAGCCGCCGCTGGAGCTGCCACGGCTCAAAGACGCTGACCCGCCGGCGGGGAGCTCCCGCTCGCCGGCCTCAGCCGGGAACCCGCAAGTTTGCCCAAAGTGGTGGTTGTGGCCGGGAGCTCACTGGCTTGCTCGCGGCGCGAGCTTGTGGCTGGAGCTGCTGCAGCGGCGGTGGCAGTCGAGCCTCCAAAACTACACACTGGCTGAGAGGGCGGGGGGCGCGCCGGGGGTCGGGGGAGCGCGGCTGGAGCAGCACCAGCCCGCCGCCGCGCTCCGGAAAGCCCAGCTCCGGCTCCGGAGGCCACTCGGAGTGCGCTCAGCTCAGCCACCCCCTCACCCGCTTAAGCCAGAACCTGCCCCCACCCCTCCCGGCGCGTGCAGCCAGCCGCGCTGGGGTCGGGGCACTTGCTCGCCTTCCCTGGCGCTGGTAAATTTCCTGCTCGCTCCGACTAATGCCGAGTGCGTGCGTGAGAGCGCTGGAGCGGGCACCGGGAGACGTGGTTCCTTCTCCTGCCCCCCGCCCCCTCAGACCGCGTTCCCCACCGTCCAAGTGTCACCAGTTGGCAATTTAGCATCTTGGTGAGGGCACACTTAACGGTGGCCAGGGGTGCCCTGCGTGCGCCCAGAGAGCCACGCTGTTAGGAGAAACCATGATGGGCTGCAGTGCTGAAGAAAGAACGTCAAAGTCCACCGAGAGCGAGAGAGGGATCCTTTTTGGGGATCGGTGACTTCGGAGGCCTGGAACTGGGGTTGGGGGCGGGGGGTGGGGGGTACTTGTCTTTGTTTAAATCTTTGGCATTCCTGCCATCGTGCTTGCTTAGGGGGGGGTAAACCTTGGGGGTGTGTGTGTGTGTGTGTGTGTGTGTGCGCGCGCGCGCGCGCGCGCCTAGGGAATAAACACATGTTGGAAGTCTCGATATTATTTTCTGAGCAGAAACCTGCAGTCTTTAGTAACTGGCAAAGTATAGCGTCACCTATCTGGATAAAAGGGAAATAAACTTTAATGGCAACTTTGTCTACCAAAGTGTCCCTAGCTCCTTTTCTCTCTCCTTCTTTTGACTTTGTGCCACCTAGTTGTGCATGGTATTCCCCCAGACGAGGCTTCCCCAAAATTTCAGTGGGGGGTCCCCGAAGCCCGCCTCAGCCGATTTCAGCTCTGGTCATGTTTTCTAAACTGTAACCAGTTTTAACCAGCTGTTAAACCAGGGGAAATAGCGAGAATTACTGGGTTGAGGGGGGGCAACAGCTATTTGGATAGGAAGAGGGGCTGATGCTAGGATTTCATTAGTCCTCACTTCGTCTGCCCAAGCTACAGCGACTCCCTCTAAAGGGGAATTCAATGTAAAAAGAAGAAAAAAGAAATCTGCCCACAATTGGCATCTTTGCCTTCACGAGACCTGTGTGAGGAGGCAGAATGATTTAAACAAGACAAACACCAATAAAGTCTGCGAGCAGATGTCAGCACGCGGTTGCTTGGGCGAGCGCAGCCAGCAGGAATGGGGGCCGGCGGGGGCGGGTGGTGGCCGCGATTTCCAAGCTCTTCCTATGGGGGATCGCAGAGCTGGAAGGGTGTGTGGTAAGTGCCCGGGCGCTAGCGAGCATTTTCCAGTCAGCTAAAGCAGCAGCACTCGCTTGGGCAGCTCCTCCTCTTAGGCAGGCCGGGAACCCGGCCTCCCTTCACTTACACAGCCCCCCACCCCACCCCCCAAGTCACCGCCGCGCCAGCCTCTCCGCTCTATATCTGCAGCATCAGCTAGAAAAGCCCGGCGCGCAGACTCAGTGCGCACCGCCGCAGTCTGGAGCCGGGGAGGGGGACCCGCGCTGCAGCGCCTTCGCGGTCGTCTAAGTGCGGTAAAGCCAAAGCTCCTTTATATTTTGGCAAAATGATTTATCAGGACTCGAGCCTCCCCCGACTCCCGCCTCCCCTTTTTTTCCAGGGTCCAAGGCGAAAGAGGGACACCATCTCCACTCCACAGCTTTGCGCCCGTGCATTCCGATGCTTGGCAATATGGTGCAGAACACTCACTCCCCTCGCCGCCTTTTGCTAAGATTTTGCAAACTTCAGGCAGTCGCGTGGGCAGCAACGCTGTGCACCCACTCTTCCCTCACCAGACCATAAACTTGAACAGGCCCCTGCGCACCTTCAAGCGTTCGCTCCCCGAGGCCGCGCGCGCTCTCCAGGCGCACGCGAGCGAGGAACCAAGGGGTGGGCGCTTTTCCCCAGCGCCCTGCAAATTTCTTCCCAGATGACGGGAGGATGCAGAGCGTCCTTCACAGTGGAGTGGTTTCCTCATTGCGAGCAGGAGGTAGTCTCCAGCCCGCCCTCCCTACTCAGCCCTACCAACTCCGCCGCCAAGCCCAGCCAGCGTGGGAAATAGGTCCGACGTGTGCGGCATGGAGAGCAGCGCAGCCAGACTGCCGGGCGGGGTAGCCGGCCTCCGGGCTCGCCTCCCTCCCCCTGCAGCCCGGGGCTCTGACCTTTCAGCCAGACCAGCCTGCACGCGGCCTCGGCGGCGGCTTTGCCCTGCAGAGCGGTTCTAGGGACGCAGAGCGAAATAGGCGGGGCGGGGTGGAAGCCAGGTTAGGGGAGCCGCCGGGGTGCCCTGGCCGAAGTGGCGGCTTCCAATCCTCTTCCGCCCCCAGTCTGGGGACTGACACTCCAGCCTCCCGCCTGCGTGGAGATGAATGGAGGCGAGAAGCCGCCTTCCCCACCCCCGCCCCATTTCCGCAGTCTTGGAGCTGGTGTCACAAGTGCTCAGCAATTTCATTAAATGCAACCGGGGGACTTAATCCCCCCGGGTCCCAGACCTCTCCGAGGGAATGCGAGATCCGGCTTCGCTCCCACCCACAAACCCCGCCCGGCTTTTCAGACCCCGGGCTGCATTTGTCTTTTCAACCAGAGAGGAGAGGGTTCAGAAAGAAATGGGATCCAAAGTGTAACCGGCTGCAATAAATTAAAGAGCCCGCGCCGGCTGGTGCCGGCTGCGGCCGCCACCACGGTTGCTGCTGCTTTGGCGGCCTGCAGGGAAGGCAGAAGAGAGATCAGTCTCCAGAAGCCTGCATTGATCAGTGATAGGACGTCATCTCTGTAGGAAACAAGATGTTTGAGGGAGTGTTAAAATGTTGGGGGTCTTTTTCTAGCCCCCACCCCTCTTTTTAAAGGACAATGAAAAGGAGAGCCCCTTTGAGACCAAGGTATAAAAAATGAAATTGGTTATAGAAATAACATTACGTTCTGAAAGATATTTAATAAAAAAACTTGGCCGACGATTTCTTCTTTGCCAAATAGCCTATCCCACACTTCCAGTATTGGGTAGTTTCTTTCTTTTATTTACCTACTAAACCTGCTTTCTCCGCACTGCTTTGCCATTAAAAAATTTCAATGACTGAGCTGAAAAATAGCATTCAGGGTCTGGGATGTAGTTTCAGCCTCAAGAAAAGACGGGAAGAAAAGTCACAACGAAAACAAAAGTTTGTGGGTAAGAATGTAAGGAAGTAAGTGCCGGGGATATGATGTCGGCGGGGTGGGGGGGGTTCATTTATTATAGAGCCTGTATTCACAATAATAGAAGAAAAAGGTTAAATACAGTAAACATGATAGCCAGTTCTGGAAAGAAATATAAAGCGTTTGACGGGAAGGGAGAAAGTGACTCAAGAACTCCACCAAGGGACAAACAGAGGAAATGACACCCCTACTTCTAATCCATTGACCTTTCTTTCATCCTTTTAAGAAGGGAGCTCTATATCCATTTACCTATGTGCAGACATTGCTATGGAGGTGTTCATAAGCAATCTTCTCTCTAACTATTATTGGTAAATTTGATACTGAAGTTTTCTTTTCTAATTAGCAGAAATAATTGCTCTTTGAACACATTGCAAATAGTAAATATAAGCTGTGCATTAATTATTGTTGTATAGCAAGCGCGATTTTGATCCATGGGCCTGTGAAAAACTTTGGTGTATATTGCAACCTTAAATCCGTGCTCATAGTGTTAACGTGTGTAGTAGACTCAAATGGCTAAATTATTCATTGCAATAACAGACTTTTTGATGGACATTAAGAACTCAGCAGTTTAAATAAGGAAACCACAGATTTCCTTTTAAGCAGGTAATAACTGCTGGCATAAGTGATTATTTAATTGGTCTCCAGCCAAAAAAATAAAACCAGTTGTGCTGTTTAAATGTTATACAAAGCCATGCATTGTAATTTATCAATAAAAGAAGAACACTCGTTCAGAACTAAAATAAGTTGATTCTTTCTGCCTATTGGATAATTATAGAATATTCCCACAGTGTTTGTTAGTATACAGAATATTTCTAGAGAAAAAGAAAATTATCAAGATAATTTTAAATGGTTTTCTAAATATTAATTAATAAGCTGTGCAATTTGCTAATTTAGAGTGTTTTCAGTTTTAGAATGATTTTCACTTGAAGCTCAGCATATACTGACAGTTGATTTTTTTCCAAGCTCTAAAATTTTAAATGTCAAAATTTATACATTATAAAACAGGCTCCTG